GTTAGAATAGAAGTATTTTCAAATGAAACAATTTTTTAGGAAATTTCAATTCAGTAAATGTTTTTAAGTTGATGTGACATCTTTGACTCATATATCGAGACATATACGGGTTAAGAGTGTTACAAATTTTATTTTTAAAATTCGGGGATTGAGAAAAAGTCCATGTTCTTTTAATTAAATTCATCGAGAAAAGACTGTTAGATCAAATCTAAGGTCTCGTCTCGAGATATTTAATTAATTGAACATCCTTATTCTCATTAAATATTGGTAAAATAAATTATTAATTTTACTTGCTTGATATGCACTTTTTATTCTCTTTATTTTTGCATGTGTTTTCCCGATAGGTTTTCAAAATAAAAAACATTTGAATCGATATTGAGAATAGTAATATATTTTTATTTCGGTCGGAGTAATAAATGATTACTTTAAGGCATGAGATGTCATTTATTCTCGATTGAAAATAATTTGATATTGTCGTTTTCTCTCGAATTAATACCGATTTTTAAGACAAAATAGTAATATCTTTTTATTTCAATTGGGGTAATAAATGACTGTTTTAATGCACGAAAGGTCATTTATTCTCGATTGGAAATCATTAGATATTATCATTTTCACTCGAATCGCTATTGAATTTTAAGACAAAATAGTAATATCTCTTTATTTCAATTGGGGTACTAAATTACTGTTTCAATGCACGAAAGGTCATTTATTCTTGATTGAAAATAATTAGATATTATCGTTTCACTCTTAAAATTATTTTCGGTGTTATTATTTTGAAATTAATGGTGAAATTTAGAATGAAATTTTAATATTTCTCTTTTTTTTATCGGAGTAAGAATCGATTGCTTCAACGTATGAGAGATTAATTCTTCTCGATAGGAAATAATTAAATATTATTATGTTTCATCCAAAAATTCAAAGAATATTATTTTTAGGGGATCTTAAATTAAATTAGACTCAAACATGTAAAATTCATTGCAAAGATAATTAATTAATCGACTAGGTACCGATTTAGGGCGTTGTGGGGGTGCTAATCTTCCCCACATGTAATCGACTCCCGAACTCAAATTTTGGTAACTCATTCCACAAGTTTGTTGTTTTAATTAAAATTAATACTTTATTAAAATGGAAAATACGTTTTTGGGTGCCCATTCACACCCTTATCAAAGATTGGTGGTGACTCCTCGAACCACATTTTATCTTTAATCTGGTCGTTCCAAAAATTATTTCAAAATGAGACCCTCCTTTTTCCCTCTCTGAAAAAACCGTTTCGACATTAGTAGTTAGCGGTTGTTAGTTAGAAGTTAGAAAAGTTAGTTGTTAATGGTTCATAGAGTCTGAACCATAATAATGTGGATCGTACCCCGGATCAGGTCACCACAAGGTCAAATAATAATTCAAACAAATTAATAAAAATAGAAATAATAAAAAAACCGTTAGGAGTTAGCAGAGTCCGGACCATAATAATGTGGATCATACCACGGATCGGGTCACCACAAGGTCGAATCGAATATTATAAACAACAAATAAATAGCAGTGCAATAAAATAAAAGTTAGTGGTTAATATGCAATAAAATGAGAGTTGATAGTTAATTCAAAATATAAAGTGCATAAGTCAATGACCAAAATAAAACAACAATAGCAGATTTCAAATAAATAAAGTGGCAAAAATGATGATTAAAATAAAATAAAATGAAACAGTGAGTCAAAATCAAAATAAATAAAAAGGAAAGATCATGTGACCAATTTGTAAATAAACGACAGAGGTAGGAGGACTAATGGGTATTTTCCCTTGGATAGATGGCTAAAATGCAAAATACACTAAAAATGAGGACCCAAAATGAAATTAAACCCTAATTTAGTGACTATTTCGGTGGCCCTTCAACTCTCAACCGACACGAAATCGACCGGAGGAACTAAATCCCCCAAAAGTGAATAAAAAGTCAAAGTCTGGCTCTTAGACGCCCACTTTTATTCGATCGAAACCCATAAAAGAGCACGATTTCCACATTTCAGATATACATCGGCACCGTTATAAGCCTCTGACTAGCCTAACGATGGTCGGTCGGTTTAACCACAACCTAGACCTAAGAAAACTCGAAAAGTAGGAATCCTAAAATACCCATCCAAACGCACACCGACACCCTAATCCGACAAACAAAACATCAACCTTATCGTTCGAACCACCCTAAACCGGTGACTAACAACTACTCACGCTCTTCCTCAATACATGGAGACCGACCACCGACCAAGGCAAACATCCTGCACCAAAACAGTTACTGAAAAAAGAAGGAAAGACCAAACCTTGTTTATTTGCTTTTCTTTTTTAACATACAAAATCAGAGGGGAGTTTTTTTGCTTTCTTATTGGTTTTTAAAGCTCCCTAAAATTACAAATAGTGCAATTACGAGTTTGGTCCCTAATCTTCACTCTAATTTTAATTGTTGGATAAAATTAGGGTATTACAGATGCCTCTCTTTGCTCGTCTATTGTATAAACAATGACGAAACAAAGATAACTAATGACCTAATTTTGTTTGAGCACGTTGGCAACCCATCTTCGGGTGTTAATATTCCTCATCAGTCTTTTATTTGATTTTCGCCTTGATCTTCCGACCGAATGATTTATCTTTGTTCCCATTGTCGCAAGATGAGAATAAGGCAAAGACCATAGACACTAATTTTATCTAGCTATGATGTTCGTTCTTCATCTTGAGCTCAAATTCTTTGTCTGAAAACAAAGGATTTAAAAAAATGACAATGTCCCTTCATGTTGAGGATTTCGGGTCAATCTAGAGATAATTTGGTGCTAAAGACAACACTGCTCATCCATGTTGAAGAGTTCTGGCCGCTTCCAGGTAAATTATTTGCTAAAGATGACATTGTTTCTTCGCGTCGAGAAAGTCGGGTCAATCTGGAGATAATTTGGTGTTAAAGACGACACTGTTCATCCATGTTGAAGAGTTTTGACCGCTTTCATATGACACTGCTCCTTCTCATTGAGGAAGTCTGGTCAATCTGTATAATTTAAAGATTTGTATATACAAAGAAAATGATTTTTTTAATAAGCAAAAACAATGATTTGTATATACATGCTTCCTTTGAAAATATAAAAATAAATCCAATAAGCGATTTCACTGGAAAAAATACGTTATTTTATATAATTTAGATTCAAATAATATTATTATATGATGAGAAAATTTTAGAATATATGTCATACATTGAAATATACCACTAATTTTATAGGAGAATAATTTTTAAATAGTCATTCAACTATGTCAAAATAATCTTTTTAAATATTTTTTTTATTAATATGTGTAAGTACAATATAATATATGTTTAAAGATAATTCTCAATCATTTGACATTGAACACTCACACCCCTAGTATTGTTGATGCTTGAACCCGAGACCTTAAGGAATAATAACAATTCTTTTACTACTGAATTTTTAAAGTTACGTAATACATATTAAATTTAAATTTTATTACAAAATATATACCGCATCTTTAATTACTAATAAAGGGATGACGTGATATATTAAAATAATAAAAATATCTCATTTGCCCTGTCAATTATAACTAAAATTTTATCTAAATATCATTTAACATTTTTAAGTAATAATTCTAAAAATAATTATATATATATATTCACAATTTATTTTTAAAATTATAAAATTATTTTTAAAATTTATAACTTTATGCATATGTGAAGTCATAAAATTATTTTATAATTAATTTTTTATTTAATTGTAATTATATTTAAAAATTTATAATTTTTAATATTCAATAATTTTAGATATCAGAAAATAAAATCAATTTTGTTTATTAAACACTGTACTAATTATTTAACTTTTATTTAATAGTTTTAATATAATTTTAAAAATAAATTTATAATTTTAAAATTTTATATATTTAAAAAATGTTTTTCATTTTAGAATTATTACTTAAAAATATTAAAAAATAAAAAAACAAAATTTTAGTCTCAATTGAAGGAGCAAATGATTTTTTTTTAATTTAGTGTGTCATATTAACCCAATTGTTAAATGTGAATGTTTTTAACGAAATTCAAAGTTTAATGCTTAATTTATAATTTTTAAAAATTTAATGACTAAAAAGATCATTTTATCATAGTTTAATAGCTATTTATATATTTGTAGTAATGCACATTGGTGCGTGACATTCGCTAAAATAAAACATACAAAAATAGACTATATTAGAATATGACTTAAGGTAAAAATAAGTACCTAAATTATACTCAAAACATATTTTTGGTATCTAAAAAATTTTTCTTTAAAATTAAGTGTCTAGCATTTTCTCTGTTACACTTTTAGTTGAATATCGTTTGAAAACTGTTAAATAACATATGTCATGCTTATATTTTTTAAATTTTATTAAAAATATTTGTCTTAAAAAAATCTAAATATGACATGTGTCACTTAACAGGTTTTTAACGACAGATACTTGAAGTGTAACGGAGAAAAATTTTAATGAAAAATTCTTTAAGTATCAAAAATCAATTTTGAATATAGTTTGTATACTCATTTTTATATTAAGCCTTAAAATATTTGAAAAGGATAAATTACACATTTAGTATATAAACTATCAAATTTTTCTCATTTTAGTACTTAAATTTTTAATTTTTTCAAAACTATACACAATGATTAGTTTTTGTTTCACTTTAATAACCGTCGTTAAAAACTTAACACATTTAGTACGTAAACTATCAATTTTAGCCCGTTTTAGCAGCTAAACTTTCAATTTTTTCAAAACTTAACATTATCATCAAAGTACTAAAATGAAATAAAAATGAAATATTATGAATAATTTTAAAAAAATTAAAAGTTTAAGTGTTAAAACAAATAATTTAAACGCTAAACGTGTAGTTTATCCAAAATTGTAATAATGGATAAAGAAAAGACCTCAACATTTAAAGTTCTCCTGCAAACTTCATTTATTATTAAGATGGTGGAGTATAATAACAGACAACCATAGCTTCCCCTCCGCTGCCGCCATTTCCAAAAGCCACCAAATTTTACCGCTTTTTTGCCCTCAAATTCAAGTATCATCTCTGAAAAATACATCGCCAAAATCATAACGGAACGCTAAAACAGCAATGTCTTTCAAGAACCGAACTCTGACGACTCCTCTGCCGCAACCGCAGGATTTCAAACTACGCGTTTGTACTTGCCTTAACAGACTCGCCGACCGCGACACTCTCGCCGTAGCTTCCGCGGAGCTCGAGTCCATCGCTCGGAACCTAACCGTTGATTCCATCGCTCCCTTTCTTAACTGCCTCCACAACACCGATTCTTCGTCCAAGTCTCCGGTTCGGAGACAATGTGTTAGCCTTCTGGCGTTGTTATCTCGTTCGCACGGTAACGCACTGTCTCCTCACTTCTCTAAGATGGTTTCCACGCTTTCCCGCCGCCTCCGAGACCCCGACTCCTCCGTCCGGTCCACCTGTGTTGAGGCGAGTGCCGCCATGTCGTCTCACATCACGAAACCTCCGTTTTCGGTTTTGTCGAAGCCGTTGATCGAAATGCTGGTTGTGGAGCAAGACGCCAACTCGCAGGTCGGAGCCGCCATGTGTTTGGCGGCGGCAATAGAGGCGGCGCCGGATCCTGAGACAGAGCAGCTTAGGAATGTGTTGCCGAAGTTGGGGAAGTTAGTGAGGAACGAAAGTTTCAAGGCAAAAGCAGCGGTGTTTGGAGTTATAGGAAGCGTCGCTAGTGTTGGCGGTGCCGGTAGTAAAGGTATTTTGGATTGGTTAGTGCCTTGTGGAGTGGAAGCTTTGAGCAGCGAAGATTGGGCAACGAGAAAGGCGTCAGCGGAGGCGTTAGGGAAACTAGTGAGGGCGGAGAAAGAGTTGACAATGGAGTTTAAATCGGCATGTGTGGCGGCCCTCGAAAATCGGAGGTTTGATAAGGTGTGTGTATCATTTACTCGGTAAATAAATTAATTTTTATTTAGTTATTTTTTCTGTATTATTTTCCCGTGTTATGATTTAAGAGTGTTTTAAGCATTTAAAATATAACTTAATTGTATATTATACACTGCTAATGTTTTTAAAATCTTTTTCGTTCGAAAGTGCTTAGCAATTTAGCATATTATGAAATTTTGGTGGTACAGGTAAAGATCGTCCGGGAAACAATGAATCGTAGTTTGGATTTATGGAAGGAAGTTTCTGGAGTTTCTGAGGACGGCTCAATTCCTTCTCAGTCTGAATCATCCTCATTTGGTATATTAAAGATTTAATTTCGTGTAATTTGTAATTTCCTGATATTAGGAAGTTAATCATGTCCAAACCCAGAAATTTTGCACCATATAAAAAATATTTTGATACTTCCCAAAAGTTGCTTGATTCTTCATTTTTCTTGAAATCCCTATGTCAACATGAACATGTAGATTTGATCACAAGGAGCCTCCATATACATTAAACAGCTTGAAAAGAATTGAATATACCCTGCGTCGGACACATTCGTATCTGATAGTAATATGCGAGTCCGAGTGTTATAGGATACTTCTTCGATGAGAATGCTCAAATATGTTTACACCCTTTTTAGTTTAAAATTTTGGAAATATCAATTGTTACTAATATTGTGTTGTAAATTTTATGCTTGATAACTACTGCAACATCTTTATCATTTACATGCTCATGTGCTTTGCTCATAAAAACAGATAATGTTAGCTTTGGATGCTTTCCTTCAGTTGCAAAAAGTGTAGATGGTGCTGGTTTTAGAACTCCCCAATCAAAGAAAGTAGTCCCCATTAGCAGGTCGCCTCCATCTGATTCTTCAACTGATTCCACTGCCAAAAAAGAGACTCCCGCAAGGAGTAATAATAGGAATGTTAATGCATCGACTTTCTGTCGGTTGGATCGCACAAAACCCTCTTATTTGAAGACTGAAATTGTTGAACCCAGGAAGTCTCTGTTTTTCGAGGCCTATGATAATATCAAAAACAGTGACTTTGGAGTCCTGGAAACTAAACGCCTACTCTTTGCTAGTGAAAATGATGAGGAATGTGGAGGTTTGAAATCTGGTTCCCGGGTGGTTCCTTTTCATGTTGATAAGAAAAATGCAGCTGCAGAAGTTGGTGAGAACCCCAAAAAGGTTGAGGGTCTGATTTTGATACGTGAACGGCTTGCTCAGATTGAAGACCAGCAGTCCAATCTATTAAACCTCCTCCAGGTAGTTTGCTGAACCTGAACTTGAACATCCTCTCTCTTTCTTTACATTAGTTTTGCACTTACCATGGAATGCTTTTGGATATAGAAATTCATTGGGAGCTCCCAAAGTGGGATCAATTCACTAGAGACACGTGTGAATAGCCTGGAGATGGCTCTGGATGAAATGTCATATGACTTGGCTGTTTCAAGTGGAAGGATTCCAAACATGGATTCTGCAGATAACACGTGCTGCAAGCTGCCTGGCACAGAATTTTTAAGTCCCAAGTTCTGGAGGAAAACTGAAGGTTGGTTTTCAACTTCAAGGTTATCTTCCTCGGGCCGCATGGTTTATAAAGATTCTGGTGCTGAAACATATAAGCCAGCAGAAGCGGTCAGCCAAAGACACCAGCATCAAGATTGTGGTGGATTTATAATGAATCCAGCAGCGGATGGTTGTGGTGGCATGACCGAGAATTCAGGGTTCTTCTCAAATAGATTATCAAATGATACCATTCGAAGTGATGAAAGGGTTCGGGTTGGCAATTCTAGTGGTGCTGATGGGACGACCTTGATTCGTTGCCCTGCACCAATAAACCTTAGAAGCAGGTAATGTAATGTAATTCCATAGTGAATTGTCTTGTATGTAATTTATTATAATTCTATCCTCTCTATTCTGGTCAATACATATAGTTCAGGACTGTTTAGAATGGTTCTTGTACCGGAGTCGGTTACTTAGTGTGAACAAGTGTTGCATGTATTGGATCGCTATTAAATGCAGTTTTAGAGCAAGGATTTGCAAATATGGTGTAGAATCCAGAGGTGGTAGACCGATCATTTGGATTGGGCTACTTGGTGTTTAGACTTGATTGGGTAGGGTTAGGTTGGAGTCGAGTCATTTCCGGTTTGAATTTAGTTTGGATATATGGTAAGTCGGGCTAGGTATCAAATCGGGTCAATATCAAATTAGTTACTTTTCAGGTCGGATCTATTAAGTGTATAATTAGAGCAAGGACTTTCAAATATGGTGTATTCCTTAAAGTTTAGCAATAGGCCTTTAGAGGCTCCATATATGTACATTGAATCCTAATAGGGAAAAGGCAAACAAATATGAATTGAATTGTGTTTTGTACAAGTTGGGTTTATTAAAAAAGAAAAAGCATTTTCCTCTTAAAAAAAGCAAAGTAAATTAAAGAAGAAACAGTAAATCAATAAAAGGAATTAACAATTGCGGCCAAATGAATTCATTAATTGATGGTAATGGTAAAAGAGAATATCATATTTAGAAATTGTGTTTGAGCAGTTAGGCCAAGGTGAATGTACATTATTATTAATTGATAAAAATATTCTAAACAAATATGGTCTTAATAATCATTAATATTATTAAAAATACAATTGCCGACACATTATGTCATGAGCATCTTTTTAGTTTTGCAAAGCAGTGGCAGGTGAAGTGTAAATGAAGCTATAATAATAAGTATATCTTTACTTTACAAATATATTATAAATTCTAAACTTGAAAACAAGATTATAGAAGGCAGTCCCTTCCACTGGAAGTTCCTTTTAGGACTAATTTCCAAAACATTTTTAGCAGGAAAGTTCATACATAATTCCTTATTATATGAAATACTTCAATCAGTATATAACCAATTGTTCAATAAAACTCCCTAAGTTGTTTAATTCCAGGAGAAAACTACGTATAATTTACAAAAGAAAACTACCAATGAGTGACGCATAATTTATAATTTATCTATCGATTCGACATATAATATAATTTATAGTAAGTTGTCTAATTTATAAATTGTAATCTTTTGAAGAATTTATCATCCTTAGTAGTAAAAGGAAATGTTACTTTTATAGTGATTTTGGTTCTAATAACATTTATCATATGATATAAGAGCATTGTCAATAATTATAAAATATTTTGTACAAACATAAACCAAGTGACCTCGTGGTAAAGAAAATATTGTTATTCCTAAATATAGCCGATTTTTATTATATAAAATGTCTGCATTTAGTCGTTTTTCCAATAAACATTCATAAATTTTATTACTTTCAAAAGAAAAAGAAAAAGAATCCCCTACCCTCTCCTTCTCGACTTTCTCTAGAAGGATGTAAGATTTTCTGAACTGGTCCAGCTCTTGTTTCCAAATTTTTTTAACTAAAATAATAATTTTATAATCAAAATAAGAAATTTGTCTTAATTTAGTTATATAAATATAAAAAACATCGACATAAAATTTGATTTATTTCTTCCATTCTTCAAATAGTAAAATGATACTTTTTGAACTCGTAATTCTATACTCATAATTTTAAACTCTGAATCGTAAAGTGAAAAATGATAAATTATAAAAAAAATTGTCAATTAAATCAATAAATTTTAATTTGATTTCAATCACCACCGACATTTAATTGTTAACGAAATTACGAACAAATTTGATCCTTGTTACTTACATACTCGTAAAATTTGTATAATAGTGTGTCATCATCTTATTAAAAGATTAAATTTATTAAATTATTTTGATTTTAGTTAAAAAAAAATTATATAATAACACATTTGGTCCTTATTACTTACATATTCTATCAATTTGTATAATAATATGTCATCATCTTAGTAGAGAATTAGATTTATTAAATTATTTATGATTAAAATTAGAATCAAGTTGATAAAGAATGCAAGTAACGAAGATCAAATTTGTTGTTAAACAAAGTTATTTGACTGATACATCAACAATTAACAATTGATGACTTAATTAAAACTAAATTAAAAGTTTATTGACCTAATTGATCATTTTTATTTAATAAAAATAGAATCAACCTATAATAATAAGTGTAGTGACATATAACACAGTATATATCCAAACAACAAAAATGAGTGTATAGGATAATTTAGGGAATAATTGCCCAACTCTACATACCAATGTCTAGAAGATAATTCAAAATAATTGCTACCATTATTCAGTCTCCTCTTAAAATAAGCCACTACTATTATTGGTTCCCAATAAATGTTTCTCCCCTTCCTTTTATTTAGTTTTGTTTTTCTTAAGGAAAATAAAGAAAAACAAAAGAGGAAGGAATATTTCTCATCACATGTTGGATTTATTAAAGCACCAATTGGACCAATTTTGTGTGAGAAGAACCAAACTACTCCCAAGCCAGCTATGACCACTATCTGTCATGTTCTTTATTCACATTTTAAACAGCCTTAGCTTACCTAATAATACAAATATAATTGCATAGGTATGTATGCATTGTTTTTTTTTTCTTGAGTATTATTATTCAAATGAAGAACATATACCCATTTTATCATAAATTATTTTAATTTATTCTGAATTTTCTATTATCTTTTATAGTGATAAACTTATTTTAATCTATAGTTTCATAGACCGAATATTATTAAATTTATCGATTATCGATTTAAATCAAAAGTTTATAATTTATTCCAAACAAATTTATTGAATTTAAATAATAATTTAATCAATAAAAATATGTTAATATTTTGAATAAACGGATATGACTTGACTCAAGAACTCATTAAGCATTTAATATGGTGAGGTATAACAACATTGAGAGCCAGGGGGTCCATTCTCCCATTACTACTAAAGGTGTAACACCTTAAACTAGTACGACAGACAGTTGACCGATACGAATGCCACACGAAACCATCGAAGTGTCTAACCAAATTTGTTCTTTAATTTCTCAATTTAAAACGACCATTTGTAAATACTCATGTTAAGATAAATCAATTACAATTTAAATAAAATAGTTTACCTCACGAGCTCCCAAAAAATAATAATTCAAATCATACAGACTATTGTTTAAAATAAGTTACGACTCGAATATACAAAACGGGTTTACAATTATACATGCCCTCTAAAGATGAACTCGAGATGTACTTTGCACTAGTATGATCTGGATCACTGATGGAAAAAAGGGTCCTCTGACTGCTCCTCGACTAACTTGTGTAAGGAAACAAATTCCAAACGCTGAGCTAAATAGCACAATGCTACACTAACAACTAATTCATACTAAAAGTGTCCATGTCATGCTCAAACTAAATGAATAACTACAATAGTGAGTATACTCGTATACTACACTATCTACTCTATGGTAGACATCATGGTGTGCCTGCATGTTCCGCATCTCAGAGCTCACATACCCGTATAGTATATTGAGGATGATTGCTCGAAATCTCTACATCGGCCAACACCCTCGACTAACTCACCCCTCGTGAATGTCGGGCCTCGGCCCTAGCTAGTCAGCTTAAAGTGCCTCACGCACTACCTAATGATATCCAAACTGATTCTATACTTCGACATCATAATCTTACTAAAAGAAATCGGGTGTCTTGTTTGTTTCCCGAGCATCAATCAAGGCTAGTTTTATGTCCCCTAATTTATCTTGTTTATAAATGTAATTAAGCATTATTCTTGTTCTCACTTAACGTTTTATTGAAAGTTTACCCAATTTGAAGCATATTATAAGTTCAAGGCTATCCATGTACCATTCTAGGCCTATTTGTCCAAATTCAAGCAGGGGTTTTGAAACCTACTGTAGAGGTTTCAAAACCTTAGCATAAAATTTTAGGGTATGGGAATGGGGTTTTGAAACCTTTGTGAAAATTTACATTCTGGATAAAATGTTTTGAAACCAGCCATAGGGGGTTTCGAAACCTCTTTTGCAACTTCAAATTTTCACATGTTTAAACACTTCAAAATATTAACAAAACAATTCCAACATTTCCAATTGACCAATATAAATTTAAACATGATAGAATGTGTCATAGAGAGCTTAAAACAAGTTAAATAACATCTAATGCTAGAATCTACCATGGATGATTATATAAGTTTCCCAACTTAAAATTTCTAGCTTGAATGCATTCTAAAATCTCACAATTAGTCTGAAAAGGTTGTAAATGTGTTACCTTGAATACTTGGTTTTCTAGGAAGGTCACCAAATTACTCAAGAAACAATTTTCTTTTTTCCCTTTACTCTTAAGTTGTCCCCAACTTCTTTCACTAATCAAAAGTAAGGAAAATATATCATTAACTTAACTAGTTAGATAAACTAAGGATAAGGACACTTTCTATCACTTGAATCCATCAAAACACTTAGAATCTAAGGATTCTCTTAAACCTCCCAAAAATCCATTTTTGGAAGCTAAATGAAAAACTTGGAAAATGAGGCTTGAAAGGTATCTCATGGATTAAGGATTAATAATCTTACCTTATTCCAACCCAACTAAGCTTGAAACCTTTGAATTCTTCACTTGAAAAATGAAGGAGAAGAGAAGAAAGATGAGGTAAAATATGAGTGTTTGATGAGTTTAAACATGGGGAGTAGTTCACGTGAAAATCATATTATAGGGAGGGGATTTTCAGCTTTCAACTAACAAGGTGAAATTTTCACTTTTAGACCCTCAACTTTCTATTTCATAAAATACTCATCACCAACCATTAAAACTCTTGGGCCAAACCCAAGCCCACTAACACTAAACTTGATCCAACTATTTTATAAGATCATTCGAGTTTAAACTTTGGGTCTCGGGTTGACCCGAACTACTAACCTAGAATTCAGGGCGTTATAAATCTCCCATCCTAATAAGAAATTTCGTCCTCAAAATTTACATGGATAGAAAATATACGGATATTAG